CACCACCAATAGAGTTTTGAGTCTAGAGTCGATTTAACAACTTTTTATTACTCAGTTTTTGATGCTGAATTTTAAAAAAAAGTGAAGTAGAAAATTTGTCATATTTTGACAAAAGATGTGTTTTCCGAAAAAATCGGCATCCTTCGAGTAGTTCGTATGTTTTTGGTTGGAAAGCAGTTTTGCTAAGGCTAAAAAGTAGTTTTTCATGATCAGCAGCTCACGCTTTATCAAATGATGTAAAAAAAAAACGCAAAAAATATTTTTTACTGAAAATTCACGTTGCCCGCACCTTAGTTGATATTTAGAATGCGCATATGTTACCAATAAAAAATAAAAAATAAACTACATAACTAATTGTTATTTTGTACGAATTCAAAACGAATAAAGCATTTTCTACTAAGATGCCAGTAATACAAATTTACAACACCTTTTAGTCTTTCTTTAATTATACATCGTTAGATTTTTTTCATGCTCCATCCATTAAAACGGGTTTGTGATTTTTAGATGTCTGTCTTGTTTGGACGCTAATATTCATGAACGAATAGAAACAAAATCAAATTCATCAACTTTCGTCATATTTTTTATTAGAAAATAGATAAAATTCATTTTTTCAAAGTTCTAATATGACTGTAAGGAATAATATGCCCTTGTATAACTTTCTTATATCCTGTTTGAAAGACAGTCATAGTTGACTCGATAACAACAGTATTTATTTTCCCTCGAATAATACACACTATTCCTCTACGTTTGGTATGAGACAACAACACCATAAAAATGAAAAAAAAAAACAAAAGTAACTCACTAGATTCTTACACAGAACGGCAGACCACGTGTTCGCTGGCTTTTTTACCTGTGTATTTTTCCAGAGAGCTTCAATGGCAGGTAAAAATTTTCGTCGTTCTTTTGTCAATACTCGACGATAAAAAGTGTTAGTAACCATGTATGTCGACTGTACTTAGTTGGTTAAAATTTTTTACGGACAGAAAGAAAAATAAAAATAATATACAACTTCACTCTATATTTCAACTGCGCAAAATCTGAAACAAACTGAATGTTGTTGAGAATGGAGAACAAAAAAGATCATTTGCTGCCTTTTGTGTTCGGTAGAGTGTATTGTTGTGCAGATCTTTTCCAACATGAAGAGTATCTTCAACAGTGGTTGGAAGTGTGAGCATGGGTGAGATAAAAATAAATCGACACCTAGCTATACATTCTCACCCACTTCATCCCACTTTTGATGTTAGGCATCGACGTGTGTCAAATAATGGAAAAGTGAGCACTGAAGAGAAAGACAATGAACATGGCATCGAACGACCAATCTTGTAAAATTTTCATTCGAAATATTTTTGATTCTCCGTTACCTACTCACACAAACACTCATTCATAATCCATCTGTATTTCTCTCTCTAATCACAGTAAGTCATCCAGAAAAATCAGTTCGATCATCTGAAAGTAATAAATAGCAAACCATCGAATCGCAGATTGTTGTGCTGCAGTGTATCGATTTTACAGCCAATGAGAATAGGTGTTGAGTCATTCCTACCAGCCTTCCTTCGATCAAAGAAAGACGAGTATGATTGTCGGTCGTGTCGTTTACACTATCAATTTCTGAGAACATACAGAAATGACTCGAATCCGCTGATTTTGATGCGTGTGTCACTCGAGCGTTTGCACAATGACACGATAAGATCGGTATTTCTGTGACAAATACAATATAAGTTTGTTGTAATTTCATTACATTAACGGAAGCATTTTTCTACTAGCATAAAATACGGTCTAGAAAATCAAAACTGTATTACTGTGAAGAAGATGTGAAATGTAGTTAAATCAAGACAGAAAGAGAAATCGCTGCAGGTAAAATCATTGATGTGTTCCCTTCTTTGTACGTGTTTGTTTGCTACCCACACCCACTCTACGTTCATCATGAATGCTTACTGCGAATCTAATTATTTGCATTTTGAGTTGCATGAGGATCTAAAGTTTGGAGTTTTGTTTTATTCAATGCCAGTGTAGTTGAATATGGCAGTTGTGTATCTTCTAGTTTGCCTGCCTACGACGTGACTTATTTCGTCTCGTTCTCATCAAATGTTATCCGCGTTCGAACTTTCTCAATTTTCGAAACAATGGACCAATGTACCAGAAGAAGTATTTATTCGAGGTGGATTAGCATTGATTGCCATCGGAACGACTGGATATATTTTAAACAAAGTAAGAACGAACATCTTAAGAACTTCTCTTCTCTTTTCTAGTTTTACTTACTAATAGATATTCAATAGTTCTCTTGCCGAAAATTCGTCTGAGGAAAGGCCTGCAACCCAGAGTATGCTAGCTAATCGAGCCTATTCTGCTGCAGTCAGAGAACATCTTCGTGCGACTTATGCACACTTTGCTGGTGGATTGGTGATGACAGGTAGTTTTGCCTATCTTTTCCATCGTGCTAGATGGTCTACGCAATTGATGACAGAGAATAAATGGATTTCCGTTAGTGGAATTCTATTCTTCAGTTTTGGATCTAGTTTCACAACGAAAATGATCGACCAACACCGGAGACCAGTATTGAAATACACTGCATGGACATTATTTAACAGTTCGCTCGGCTTATCTTTATCGCCACTTTTCTTCTTGGACTCGTATCTACTCGCTCATGCTGCTCTTTTGAGTGCAGGTGTTGTCATTTCAATCAGTGCTGTCAGTATGA